ACACTTTTCATTATGTTGAGGAAACTCCCTTCTATTCCAATTTTGTTGAGTCTCTTTATCAGGAAGAGGTTTTTAATTTTGTCAAATGCCTTTTCTGCATCAACTGCTAAGATTATGTGGTTCTTGTTTTTTGTTTTGTTAATAAGGTGAATTATGATGATTGTTTTTCTCCTATTTAACCATCCTTGCATACCTTTTATGAACCTCACTTGGTCATGATGAATTTCTTTTTTATGTGCTTTTGGATTCTATTGGCTAAGATTTTTTTAAGGATTTTTACATCTATGTTCATGAGTGATACTGGTCTGTAGTTTTCTTCCTTGGTAATATCTTTGTCTGGTTTTGGTATTAGGGTTAACCTTGCTTCATAGAAGGACTCTGGGAGTGTTTCTATTTTTTTCAAATTATTTAAGTAGTACTGGTGATTGATTGATCCTCTCTGAATGTTTAGGAGAATTCAGTTGTGAAGCACATCTGGTCTAGGACTTTTCTTATGGGGAGGTCTTTTTATGACCTGTTCAATTTCTTGTTTTGTGATGGCTCTGTTCAAGTGTTCTATATCCATCCTTATTAATCTGGGTAGAGCATAAGTTTCAAGAAATCTGTCCATTTCCTCTAGGTTTTCAAATGTATCAGAGTATAGCTTTTCACAGTATTCCAGTATCATTGGTTTAATTTCCTCTGGTTCTGTTGTGATGTTATATCTATCATTTCTTAATCAAGTTATCTGGGTCTTCTCTTTTTTCTCTTTTGTTAACTTTACCAGTGGTTTCATCAGTGGTCAATTTTACTGACTCTTGAAAAACCAGCTCCTGGTCTTACTGATGGTTTCAATTGTTTTTCTGTTTTCTAACTCATTGATTTCAGCTCTTGGATTTATTTTTTCTTCTTCTTCTAGAGGCTGTAGGATTAGATTGTTGTTCTTTTTCTATTTGTTGAATTAGATCACTGATTCTTCTTTCTTCCTTTTTTTATGTATGTGCCTATTGCTATGAACTGCCCCTCAGGACTGCCTCAGCTGCATCCCAGAGGTTTTGATATGAGGTATTTTCATTTTTATTTGTTCCAAGGAACTTTTTCATTTCATTCTTCATTTCTTTTATAACCCAGTGTGTTCTGGCAGAGTTACTCAGTTTCCACATGGGTGGTTTTGTAAGCTTTACCTTCCTCTGGTTAAGTTCTAGTTTTACACATTGTGATCTGAGAAGATACTTTGTATTATTTCAATGTTTTTTAATTTGTTAAGGTTTGCTTTGTGTCCTAGTACATGATCAGGTCTGGAGAACGATCTGTTGTGTCTTTAATCAGTATGTAATGTCCTCCCTTATCTTTTATGGTGGTTTCATTCTGAAGTCTATTTTGTCAGGGATTATTAGTACTGTCACTTCTGCTTTTCTGAGGTTGCTGTTTGCTTGGGGTTTTTTTGGTGTGTGTGTTGTTTTTTTAACAGCCTCTGATTTTTAGTTTGTCTTTCTCTTCTTTTTTTAGATGTGTCTCTTGTAGGCAACATATGATGCGCTTTGTTTTTTTATCCATTCTGCTCCTCTTTTATGTGGTACATTTGGTCCATTCACATTAAGTGTGATTACTGTCAGGCCAGGTTTTACCGTTGCCATTTTGTTGTGATTCTTTTTCCGTTGTTTCTGGTTACTATGGTCCATCTACTTTACTTTGGCATCTTCATGTGAAGGAGTTCACGTAAAATATATTGTAGTTTTGGTCTCCTTTTCACAAATTCCTTAAGTTCCTTCTTTTCTGCAAAGGATCTAATTTTCCCTTCATATTTGATGGAGAGTACTGCTGGGTATAGGATCCTTGGCTGGCAATTTTTTCAACTTTCAATTGATTGAAAACAATTTTTTCCCCATTTTCTGTATATGCCATCCGATTGTCTTCTAGCTCACATGGCGTCTGCTGAGAAATCAGCACTGAATCTGTCTCTCCTTTGTAGGGGACTCTTTGTCTTTCCTTTGTTGTTGTTTTTTTGTTTGTTTGGTTTTTTGGTTTTTGCTGCTTTTACAATTCTATCCTTATCTTTTAGTTTGGAGACTTTGACTATATGTCTGTATGTTTTTCTTTTTGAGTCTAGTCTACTTGGTATTTGCTGTGTCTTCTTGGATGTGGATTTCCTCATTCTTCAAAATACCTGAGAGGTTTTCTAGATCTTCTTCCACATTTTTCCAGTGATTTCCCTGTCATTCCCATGTTCGGAATTCCAATCATACTTATCTTGTTCCTTTTGATATCATCCCACAATCCCAATGTTTTCTTCATTTTCTTTACGTCTCATCTCTTGCTTTTTCTTCTATTATGTTACCAGTGAGGCTTTTGTCTTCCAGCTCACTGACTCTCTGTTCCATCTCTTCAGCTCTACTTTTTTGTCCCACCAGCATGTTGGACACGTCTGCCTTTTTGGTCTTAATACCCTGTATTGCATTTTCATGCTTTTCTGTTATTTCCAGTACTGTGTTGGCTGTGCCCTCTCTGTCTTGTGATGATTTTTTAAGTTCTTGTACCTCTTTATCTAGACTGTCAATTCTTTCTTCCACCTTTTCCATTTTCTTCCATAGCTGTTCAAGGTGTTCCTCATCAGTATTTCTTCTGGACTACTGTCTCTGGGTATTTGCTCTCTTAACGGTTTCCTTTATTTCTTCCATCATTTGCATCATCTTCTGTAACCATTCAAGTAACTCCACATCAACAACTTCAGTTCTCACTATGTGGGGTATTCACTGGGTCTGCTTTTTCAGAAGGATTGGTTTTTAATGATGACTGAGGCAGACTGCTGCTTTCTGGACATTATGTGAGTCTTTTCTTAGTAGCTGTTAGGCTGCTGTAACCAGAGGATGACAATTTTTGTGAAGGATCTATATATTTGTGCTCCCTTCTTGGCCTGAGGTCTGCAGGGACCCCACATGGCGTAGCTAGACAGCAGTGTTTCCCCCAAAGTACCTGAATGGCAAACCAGGAAGCCTGTTGTTTCTGCCCACCTCCAGCTGTCGTGGTCCCTTGCTCTTGAGCTATGGGGTCCCACGTGGTGTGGCCAAACAGTAGGATTTCACCCGATTTAAGCTATTGGTGCTCCTGGCACTGAACAGCAGGGGTGGCAGCTGGGTGGTGAAACCGCAGCCCCTCTCTCTGGCTGGCAGTGGTTCTGTTGCTGGCCAGGGTGTGAGTGCGCCTGGGCTAGACCACAACCTTCAGCAGATGCTGGGGACGCGGTGGCTGAAAGATGCTCCTGGGCAGCCCAGGCCTTTCTCAGCTGGTGACTTGTGGGCTCCTCCAGTCATCTGCCCATTTTAGTGAATCACCTTCTTCTATCAGGTGGAATGCTGCATGGACGTAGTTGCCATCCAATTGTAGGCATTTGCAGTGATTACGCCATGGGTTGCATAAAATCCTGTCACGTGATCTCCAGCATCGTTTCTGTCACCAAGGCCATTATTATTATTTTGCAACTGTCAGTCCTTCTTTGCTTTCAACTTTTACATTCCAGCCACCAGTTATCGTTATTGTATCCTGATTGCATGTTCAATCATTCTCAAACTGCAGAAGTTGGCAGAAATCTTCAATTTCTTCATGGTTCCTTCTAGTGGTGGGTGCAGCTATTTAACTAACAGGTGTATTAGCAGGCCCTCCTTATTTGCATATGGCTGTTACTCCATTACTGGGCTATAACACAGATCTTGAACTGTTCTTTTTTAATTTGATACCATTCTTCAGCCTGTTATTCCTGGCAAAACAGAATATATGACTGACCCAAAGGGCTGACCGCAGGGTGTGTCCGTCAGCTCACACCTACATGCATTCCGTTTCATTTGTGACAGCGTCTGCTTTCCACAAGCTTGGCTGCTGGGTGTCATCCAGCCAGTTCTGGCTCCGCTCCACACCCACAGGGACGCACTGCCCTGTCCTGCACTGTCGACACACACACTGCCACCTTGGTCCTGCTGCAGTCACCATGCGATCCACCTCGAGTCTTCCTTTCATTGGTGACTCTCCACCTCCTTGGAACAACATGCCCACAGTACACCCAGCAAGTTTTACTCTCCTTGTCCAAGGTGCATCAGTCTTCACCACCACCACCACTTCAATGTACCAATTCTTCTCTGCTCTTCCCAGTTCACTGTCCAGTTTTCACATGGACATGAGCTGAGTGAACACACTCTGGACCAGTCAGGCTCACCTTAGTCTTCACCTAGTGACACTGCTGCTTCTGAAGCAGGTTTGCCTGTGAGAACAACGTTCCTCCTTTCCTGACGGTGGCTTCTAGGGGAGCCGAACACTGTACTTACAACTACAGACTTGTTACAACCAAGAGCCACTGAGGAACGAGTGTCCTCGGGCTCAGGGACACTGTCCTGGACTCTCACAGAGAAGCAAGCTTGCAGGGTGCATGCTGGGCTTTGACTGGTCGGCCCTGTGGGCAGGATCACAACCAATGCTCCTGAAGCGTCCCAGGGTCCCTGCTGGTTCACGGCATCCCCACTAGCACTGCACAAGCCCTCAACCTAGGCACCCTCTGGAGGACAGAGGCCTCCCACGTGTGGTCACACTGGGTCCTTTACCCACAGTCAGTGGCCCCCAGGGCGGCCCATCACTCCCACACTGTCCCAGCTCCCTCCACAAAGCTCCCCTGCCCACCTGCCACCCGAGCCAGCTGAAGTCCCCCTGGAAATGTTCCCACCCCCAGGGAAAAGCTTTTGTGCTCTGAGCCAGCAGTCCCGCCAACCGACCTGATGTCAAGGCCTCCATTCAGGAACCGCCGCTGGCCTTGGGACCAGACTGCTGACCTGGGCACACCACATGCCATGCAGGTCAGCAGCCTTGCCTCGGCGGACTCCCACTGCTGGGACTGCTGGTGTGCAGGGCTGGCCCCTGTCGCTCTTCCTGCCCTCAGCCAGCGCTGACCACACTGCCCCCAGGGTCCAGGGCCCAGTAGAAGGCCAGCGGAGAGGAAGGAAAAGGCAGAGACGTAGGGACTGAGCTCACGGACCTACCAGTCAATCAGGTAGATGTCAGGGGTTAAGTGGTTTTTCTTGAAGTGAGCAAATAATTTCGGCAAGTTCTCTTCAAAGAATACCTCAAATGCAGCAAAATACGTCAACATCTAGGGAGACAGGGAAAAGGCCATCAGTGGCCTCATTGGTGGAGTCCCTGTGTCGATGCTGATGCTACGGCAACTCACGTCTCTGTGTGTCTCGGGGCGGCCTCCTCGCTCAGGGCCTGTGCCCCCCGACATGCTGACAAAGTGAAAGGTGGCCCCCTCTCTTGGGGCTTATGCCCCCGACATGCTGACAGGGTGGTGGGCAGCCTCCTTGCTCAGGGCTTGTGCCCCCGACATACTAACAAGGTGACAAGTGGCCCCCTCTTGGGGCTTATGCCCCCGACATGCCGACAGCGTGAAGCGCGGCCTCCTTGCTCAGGGCCTGTGCCCCTGACATGCCAACAGGGTGAAGGAGGGGCCCCATGCTGGGGTCCTGTGCCCCCAACATGCTGACAGGGTGAAGGGTGGCTCCCTTACTGGGGGACTGTGCCCCTAAAATGCCAAGAGGATGACAGGCAGGCTCAGGGCTCCATGTGCCATCTCTAAGCCTCCCATCAGCACCTGGTGGCCCCACCCCAGCTCTGCCTTCGGAGGGGAGAACTGGAGCTGGGCAGCTCGGCGGTCAGGTGTGACCCAGGCAGATGGAACCCAGGCCAAGACACCGCAGAGTGGTCTCCTGAGACTCGGCGGTGAGTGGGGGAGGCAGACCTCATGGAACCCCATGCTGAGGCCCCCCTAGGGGACAGGGCCCTCACCTGAGGCGAGGGTGGTGGTACTGTGGCTTAGCAAGGGTCTTGAGCACATGAGGAGGGTTCCAGATGTGGGTGTGGGTCAGAAGGAAAGCATTCAAGGTGCGGGGACACGAGTCCCTCAGGCCTAGGAAGGTCTAGCATGCAGGAAGGTTTCCCAGCGGGGGTATAATTAACCCTGTGGGGGCTTGTAACACGCTACAGACCAAGCTTTAGCCTGTGGTCAGCGGCAAGCTGGCTGCAGACGTGTGTGCAAGTGGACCTGCAGTTTGCACTGAAGGCCATGTCCAGAAACATTAGCTTTCTGGAGGGAGGGAGGAGGAGTCCCCACACTCTGCTGTCAACCCCCCAGGACTGTCCACCTCTCTGAGGAGGGAGGTGAGAGCACTCACAAGGCCGTGGTCCACGCGGAAGAAGGCCATCTGACAGGGTTTGTTCAGAAGGTTCGAGAAGGCAATAAAGGCATCTGCTGTGTCCAGGTTCAAGGTCAACACGGCTGCGATGAAGGACATGCCCTGCACCTGTGGACGGAGGTGGTGCTCTGGCCACCCTGCCCCGCCCACCCCCACATGCCTGTGTCCACTAGGGCCTGGCTCCCCGCCAGCACTGCCCCCTCGGCCACCTCCCAGCAGGCCCTACCTTGCTGGTAACTGACCCTGGTCACTGTGCTCGGCAAGATGCATGCACACGTGTGGACAGCACATGCACACACACGGTTATGCTGCACACACTCAGAAGGGCACATGCACACAGCACAGGACATGCACGTACACACACACACACACACACACACACACGGTTACGCTGAACGCACTCAGAAGGGCACATACACACAGCACAGGGACATGCATGTACACACACATGGGTAGACAACACACACAAGCACACATGTACCGAGCAGACACACACGTGTGTGCACACATACACGTGCACACCCCCGGCTCAGTGGAAGCTGTCGGAGGTGCTGGGACACAGTCGTGCTCGCAAGGACACAGCTAAGGCAGGGTGGCCGGCCAGCAAAGTCCTGCAAGGGAGCGGCCCCGACGTGCTGGGTGAGGGCCCGCCTGCCTTCTGCACACCAGGACGACAGAACACCGGGAACTTCACTTACGTAGCCCACATCCGGCCGGTAACACGTGTACGCGCCCAAAATACTGTGCAGCATGTCGTGGTACGGGCCGCCCTGGAGGAGGCGACACACGAGAGGAGGCGTGAGCCAGGGGGGTGGGGGGAGGGCGTGAGCCATGGGGGGAGGCGGGTGTGAGCTGTGGGGGCAGGTGTGAGCCATGGCTGGGGGGGGCAGGTGTGAGCAGTGGAGGGGATGGGAGTGAGTGGTGGGGGGCAGTAGGCGTGAACCTTGGTGGGGGGAAGCAGGTGTTGGCCATGGGGGCGTGGGAGTGAGTGGTAGGAGGTAGGCATTAGCCACGGTGGGGGAGGTGGGTGTGAGAAGCGAGGGGGATGGGAGTGAGCAGTGGGGGTGCAGGAGTGAGTGGGGGGGGACAAGTGTTAGCCATGGTGCTTGGCTGCTGCCTGACACCCACGGTGATGCCGCTAACTGACCAGCCCCCCACTCAGCGCCCCCCACCCCCGCTGTAACTGCCAGTTCTTCCTCCTAACTCTGATGATGGCGGCTCCTAGGACAGACCCCTAGGGTACCACCAGCATGTTAAGCACCAATGGCCTCTGTACCCCCACCACTAACCATCACGCGTACTGACCAGGACCAGGGCCCCTGCTGGCCCCCACTAACCATCGCCCGGGGTCCCCCTGCCTCTCCTTCTGGTGTCTTCTCCAGGTCACGTCCAGAAATCACGCGGCCGGTCCACAGCACCCCAGCTCTCCCTTCCTCCCAGACCTCTCCTGTCCAGTGACCACTCCCAGGAGTTTAGAAGCCCAAGCGAGCACCCCCATATTAAGAGTCCTAAGCGAGCACCCACAGACTGGGAGTCCTCCAAAGGCACCCCTGCCCAGGGATGGGAAGGGGGTTCTCTGGGTGCTGGTGGAGCTGGGCATGGGGGTGGCACCCACAAGTGCCCACAGGGAACTGACGCAGGGTCACACGGGTGGATGTGCCAGGACCACAGCACAGAGGTGGAAAGAGGTGCAGGTCAGAGGCAGCAGGGAGGGCAGCACAGGGGGGTGAGGGGCCCCTGAACTGGAGGAAAGAGGCCCCTGTGAGGATGGACCCCAGGCTGTACCTGACGTCCGTCCTGTGGAGGGGCTGGCCGAGGACACAGAGCCACACCCTGCAAATGTCCTAGAACCCGGGGTGCCTATGGTGCCTCATGCCCTTGCCCAGGCCTCACCCCTCACAAATCAGAACTCTGGGGACACATGTCCAGGGGAAGCCCCCAGCCCAGAGGCTCCCGTTGCTCCCCTCCTCTCTCCTGAGTGGACCTCCTACCCCAGCTTCTGAAGGGGACCCCAAAACAGGGGCTCAGGTGTGAGAGGAGCAAGGAAGGGGCAGGTGAGGGGGTGCTGGAGGGGGCAAGGCAGGTGGAAGAGGCAGGAAGGTAGGGAACCCCAGTCTGGACAGTTTCTCTGGCTGGGGGAGCAGGTCTTGTGGCACCCCTTCAAGGCAGTGCTCCCCTTTTCCCAAGGGCATCCTTCTGGAATGTTCTCTCTCTGTACTTTGCTGTCAGGAACCGTAAGCTGCTCTGGAAGGACTCATGCCCTGGGCAGTCCCACCCTAGGTCCGTGTCCACACAGGGTCAGAGACGGACCCGGGTCCGTGTCCACACAGGGTCAGAGACGGGCCCCGGTCCGTGTCCACACAGGGTCAGAGACGGGCCCCGGTCCGTGTCCACACAGGGTCAG